GCTTCTTTAGTTTTTTATTTTTCCATTTTTTAAATATTTATTTCAGACTTTAAACCAGTTTTATGTTTATTACATGACTTTTATAGCTGTTGTAGCTTTGATACTTTTACTTTATTTCAGTTTAATAATAACTAAGTTAAAGCAGTCAGATTTAAATACAATCTGATTTGATTAAAAAAACAAAATTTGTGTTTTCAGATCCGTAAGAAGGACCAGATCAACATCGAGACGAAGAATAAAACGGTGCGTTTCATCGGTGAGTTGGCCAAGTTCAAGATGTTCTCCAAGACGGACACGCTGCACTGTCTGAAGGTGAGGAAGACTCGTCCTCTTCTTCAAACACCGACAGGACCAAAGTGCTGCACACACACTCATAAAATACAACACAGTCATACAATAGAAAAATAAAAAAGTAGTAATCAAATAAAACACAAATAAAAACACAATAAAACAAAGTCAAATGTCCCAGATTGTGACAAAAGTCAAAGAAAAAAGATGGGTCTTAACCCTCCGGAGTCCAGAGTGAAACTGGACGTTTTTAGAGTTTTTTTTTTAATTTTTTTACCTTCATACTTCACTTTAAAATTTGTTTATCCTGCCATGTTTGATGTCTTTTTGTTCAGCACAACCTCCTATGTGTGGATTTGAAGTTTTTTTTTTTTAATTATTACCTGCTTTATCAACACAGCTAACTTAAAATGATACAAAAAACACACAAACATCTAAAATCCGAGTGGAAAATTTATAGAATTTTTTTTACTGTGAAAACCACAAACATTTATAACAAACAGTTTTTACAACATAGAATGCAAATATGAACAATAAACATAGTAAAAATATGTTCAAATTGAACAAAAATCATAACTATATACACTACATTGAAATGCAGGATTTTTTTTAGGTTTGTTTTTTTTTTTGGGCCATATCGCCCAGCCCTAGTGCTCGATTCTCCTGTTCTGGGGGACACCTGTCTTATCCACATGACACAGTCCACACAACAGCTCCACCATGAACTCTTGATGAGTCATGGTCTCCTTCTTTGCCCTGCAGAGCTCCTCGTGCAGAGTGTAGACGTGTGTCGATGAAATGTGTAAAAAATGCATCAACATTGTCGTGTACATACGAGCTGTTTTTCTGTGGAGTAATACTGAATCAGCTGGTCGGACAGGTCCACTCCACCCATGACTGGTGTGGGGCAGGGCACATTTTTACAGGTCCACTGTCCATCTTTGTCCTTCACCTTTCTCCTCACTGTCTCACCTGAAAAGGCAGGATGGATGGTGGAGCACACAGAAACCTCCCGTGTCCTCCCACCGGTTCCTCCCTGAGGTGTCCCAAACAAAAATTTTAACTACCAAAATTTGACTCAAATTAAAACATTTCTGCCAGTGGAGTAAGAAAACTTTACTTGGTAAGAT